TAATTTCTTACACGTGATAAGGTGCCATAGTTGTGTAGGAAGCACTCCTGCTGAAGTACTTAGGAATCAACTGTCATATCTACAAAATTATTTTTGAAGAGTTAATCTATCTATCTTCCTGTTTTTCTCTGTAGGTCATATTTAAAAGTACTGACAAACATAATAGGTCTCTGTATTTCCACAAACTACTAGTTCAACCCTTCTTGATGTTTAAAATATTTATAACAAAAAAGTAGGGGAAAAATTAATACCAGATCCTTCTCTAGACTAAATAAATCAGGCTGTCTTGAGGACAGCAACCAAGCTACAGCATTTTATTTTATAAGTTCTCCAAAAGCTTCTTAAAAATACACAAAACACCCATTCTATTTTGCTCCTGGACTCTTGGTCAGTAATTCAGACGGAGCCAAGGGAGGATGATGTGTCCGTGCCCTGCACAGCCTGGAGTCCCCGCTGGGGCGTCCCAGTGGCTGGGGCCAGGGTCCATGGCTAAACCTTCCCCCACGTCCAGCAGCGCAGGCTGGCCGTTGGCTGGAGCCTTGGCTGGGCAGTAGCCAGCGCCCGGGTGCGCCGCCACCTGCGGGGGTGCCCTGCCTGGCTGCAGCCGATCTGATGTAAGTGCAGGGCGCTGCCATTTTCCCCAATTGCGAAAGTCAAGAGTAAACCTTTATTAAAATTTAGATTTCTTGGCCCTTTTCCTGAGTCTGGGGTGGAATCTATTACTATTACAAGTAAAATCAACTTAAGTGATTCTGTGGAAAGGCCAAGTTTGGAAGCACTGCCTAGGGCCTCGCCCATTCTTTTAAGATCCAGATCGGTCTGGCATCAGGAGCCAGACACCACAGAAGGAGGAAATGTCATGTTACAGTTCTGAAACCTGGGAGGATTATTTCTTGGATTCTGTGAGAATCTGGAGGAACAGGGAACACGATAAGGCCTAGGAAAGAGAGAAGGGCCATTTGCCAAGAAGGCGGGCAGCTACAACACTGCTTTCTGCTTTTAGTTTCCTTCATTGTTGATTCCCAGCCCGACAAGACTCCTCTTCGTCCCTGTCACCAGGGCGCTTGTTTTGTTTGTGCACCACAGGAAAAGGCGCTCACGGAGAGGCGCTCCTTCTCCACCCGGGATGAGCCCGATTCCGGCACCGCTCAACACAACATTCCGTGAGGGCAGAGACGCTGGACGCCCGAGCTAGAGCGACTTCCAGGCTCGTGAGCGGTGGAGCCCTTGAAAGGAGGCTCGTGTCACTGAGCAGCTAAATTTAAAATTTTGTATTACTTTCACTTCAACGTAACTTGCTTCGCGTGCCTAGTGGCTACCGTGTTAGCGTGGAGCCGCTAGACAGGGATACTCCCCTCTGTTTTGCCAAGGATTGGTATGAACATCACCGTGTGGCCCATCCCTGAACTACAGCCTGCAACAGAAAAAGATGAAGATGGGGAAGATTTTTTGATCTGTAAGGGAAATAAATGCCAGGAAGCTGGCCTCAAAGGCAGCTGGAGGCTTCGCATGATCCCCCAACGGCTGCAGTGTCCAGCCTTGGCGTTGCGGCCCCAGTTACTCACTGTAGTCTCACCACGTAGTCAGTGTCTGGGCTCCCCCACTTCCCTGAGCCCTCTTCTGTGACTAAGAATTTAGGATGGCTTGAAGTTGCATTTTGCTGTGAACTTGCGCATGTGGTTTTCCAGACTTACAAAGACTCCGAGGGAGACGAGTGTTCAGTCCCTTCATGGGGAGGCAGACACCCACTCGCGGAGAAAGCGCTGAGACCTCGGGTCCATGATGGTGCCCAGATGAAGCCAGCTGTGGGAAAGCCTTCCGTCCACGTAGCCGTCCTTCCTCCTTCCTTGTCCTCCCATCCCCCAGCCCTTGCTCTCCCTGGCCCCACCATTTCCTTGTGATTACACAGGAAAATCAGGGCTGTGCAGCTGCAATGAATGGGGTGACCTGAGGGGAAGGAAGAGCACAGGTAAGTGGCAGAGAGTGCAGGATGATGCCTCAGAGTGCTCTGCATTTCTTCCTTCACTCATTTGGCAAGGAATATTACTAAGCACCTACTAAGCACCTAAGTGTACTAAGTCCTGCAAGCACTGTGGCAGAAGACTTTTTCCTGGGAGATAAAGCAAACTTCCTGAGGATTCTCCCAAAGCTGTGTGTCTTAATTTTATTTTGATATTTTGTGTCCCCAGAGGCCCAGCACTCCCTCCGTATCATGGCTGTGAGACAAGCAGACCCACTTGTCGTTGGGTGGGCATCACGTTTGGTGCTTTCCCCTGGGGCATGTGTACCTGCAGACCCGGGCTTCAAACCTGCACCTGCTAACTCACTGGCTCTTCTTGGACACCTCAAGCCAGTTGAGGCCAAATAATGCAGGCTCTGTGCTCACTGGAGCCAGCTCTCTGGGGCACCCAGAGCCCCCTGTATAAGAAAAGGGGGCCCTAGGCAGTCTCTTGCATGATCCTGCTGGCTCGTCTTTGAAGTAAGAAACCCAGAGATCAAAGGAAATATTTGGTTGAGCTCAGCTATTTGTCCTTGATCTGCTAGAAACTTTAATTTAATTAGCAACGTAAACACGGCAGAGACTTCACTTTTTCAACTTGGTTTAACTGATTTCTTTGATTTCAAAATGACTGGGAATGACTTTGGGGGAAAAAGTCTCAGAAATATTCATGTAAGATGTAAACTCAGCAATGCTTCTGACTCATGAGAACTTTCTGGTGGTACTAACCCAAACTTCGTCGTTCTCGTGCTCCAATGAGTAATGCATTACGGTGGGAAATATTTTGGACTAAATTGCCTGGTTGTTTCCAGAAAGGCAAACTTCCCAGATTCCTTGATATTTGAAATCACAGCATTTTCTGAAGGAGAGTACTGCGACGTATTCCTAAATCAGGAGTTTAGTGTGTGGCTGAGGAATTCAATCCCAGGGGCGCCGCGACACAGGTGTTTCTCTCTCTGTTCAAAGAAGAAGCCAGGTGTCATTCTGTGGTCACAGAACTTGGCTTTTGGGCCACAAGGGCAGAGGCAAAGCCCCACTGTCTGCTGGCAGCTCATTGCATGACTTGCTGACTTTAGGCCATCCGAAATCTCCCCGTTTCTCCTTATGTTAGGGCAGATGAGAACCAGGCCTGGTGCTTAAAGGACCTGCGCGTTCCTGATAGCACGGAGACGACACCCAAGCTGCTGACTCCCACGTGAGGTCTCTTTCCTTTGCAGATGGTCAAGAAATGGAAGCTGGTGCCAGGCAGGGCAAACCACTTAGGCGGTCCTGGAGGAGGCTCTTCCTCCCGGCTGCCTGGCTTGTGGGCAAGGGGCGGAGCGAAGCAGCTGCAAACTGCGACCTGCGGGCGACCTGGACAGCTCCCCAGCTGCGTGGGCCGTGGACGAGCCTGCGTGCCCAGCCCCCTTCCGTGGCCTGCGTGCACCCTTGCCCTACGCCTTTGCTCTAGGGAGGATCCCATTGGGAAGCGGAGATGCTCCCGGCCAAGATGACAGCCCTGACCACGGTCTTGCCACTCGGGCTTGCTCTCGGTGCACGTAGGCAGCACGTGGGGCTGGCTCTTGCGCTTACAGGTGCCACCGCGGGAGGTCGCAAGCGAGTCTGCTAACAGGTGATGCGCGTAGATCTCCAACTAAAATGCGTGTCGAAGGCCCAGAGTTGTCCTTTCCACCTTCACCTGCTGACAGAAAGCAAAACTTCGACAAGGGATCACTAATACTCGTGACATAAATTCCCTTTCTCCCATCAGGCCCTACGTGTAGAGAGCAAGAGAAAGCCTATGTGTGGAGAAGCTTACAATAGAGAGGCCAGTGTTCTTCCCTACGCAAAACAGTGGTGGCTTTGGGCCTAGGGAGCAGTGTCTCTGTGCGTCCTCACGTGACCCCCAGGACTCCCGACCACGTGGCTGCAGTCTTCAGAGGCCTGTGCCATTTGTCCTGCCACCCCCCCCCCCTCCCTCCACCCTCTTCTCCGGCATTTCTTGAGCTGGAAAACTTTTAAGCTGCTTACTGGAATTTGCTACATGTGGCTAAAATCCCCTACAAGCAAAATGTGAGCCTGGCATCGTTTTAGTTTAGAATGCCATTCGAACTAGAAAGTTACCATGAGATCGTTTCCTTCTTAGGGCAGTTCCTAATGATTTCTCCGAAATCTTTACTGAAACTTGGACTCTAGAAGGAGTTTTGCCAAACCAGTCTTGTGTAATTTCTACTAGAATTATTTCAGCAGGGGTTCAGAGGTCAAAGAAACGTGGAGTGAGCTGCAACACACCTTAGATCTTGTGCAACGCATTTTATTTGTCTTCCTTTCCCCCGTCCCTCCTTAAGTGAGCTGGTAGCTGGATGCAGGAGCCAGGTGCCTGGCGGCCGAGATGTCACTGTCCTTCCCCTGACTCTTTAGTGCATGTTTGCAATCCTGTGTAATAAAAATGAAGAAGGACACTGCAGCCAGGACAAATGACTGCGGCCCTGGAGCTGAGTTGTTCTAAGCTTCAAAGGGCCACACAGAAGCAGGAATTGCATTTGGTTCGAGCTCATTTTCTTAGGAGACTTTAAAAGGTGTTTTCCTGGAATGCTAAAAACACCCTCAGAAATGGTTTCAGCACGGTCCGGCCTGGTGAAGGCCAGAGCAGGCAATGTGCAAGAAGGTGGAGCGAGGGTACAACATGCAGTGAGCAGCAGGCCGAGCCAGCGTCCACACAGAAACCTGACCAAGAGAGAGTCACCCGACGGGAAAAACGGCCTCGAGGCAGTGATGCTGAGATGACTCACGTGGCCACTACGTGTTTCCAACTTTCCCTAGGAGCCAGGAACAGAGTTGTGGGCTTCTAGACATTCTAAGTCCTGACCTCTGGGGGACTCTTGCTGCATCAGACAGGCCAAAGGTACTGCCCTGCTTGGAGAAAACTGTTCCCTGTTTCAGATTTTCTGGGGAAAGAGGAATGTACGCTAGCAGATTACTTACCTCACCATGTCTGGCCGGAGTAAGCCTCTGATGAGCTCAAGCTCTCCTGAGGTCTGGCAGCTCCGGCTGCCGGCAGAGGGAGGCAGCCTCCTTCCTCCTCCTCCACTATATCTGTGGCCCCAAGCATACCTCTCTCCTGGGGCCGCGACCAGCTGGCCACAGGCCCAGGGCCCCAGGACCCTGGCAGTGCAGAGGACAGGACAACCAGGGGACACCAGAGGGCCCCCTGACGCTGGTGAGTCCCTGGCTGCTGCCCCGTGCTGCCAAGGATGCTTAGGGGCGCCCATTCGGGGAACCTCTCTCTGGTCACCTCTGCTCTATGGTGTCTCTCTTCTGAGCTCATCTTTCCCAGAGGGCTGCCCAATCCTGCTCCTCGCTAGAGAATCCCTCCAAGGTCTTCCGTCTCCATGGCACCCCACTGTCTCTGGGCCCCCAGGTAATCCTTTTCTGTATTTCACTCACAGGGCTGGAGCCTCAGGTTGGCCCCACTAGGCCTGGGGTGCCCATGACTGATTTCTTGTTCTTCCTTCCTTGGAAACTGCCTCTGCTTTGTTCAGCCCTTGCTATTTGCGATTCTTCTTCCCGTCCTTTGTCCTTGCTGTCCTCTAGGTGATTTTTGGATGACTGCCCCCTCCCATTCTCCCATTCATGTGAGGGGTGTGTGTGTAGCTGTGACTTGGGCTGCACCTCTGGCTTTGTCCTCGCTGATTTGTGCAACTTCGGCCTTTGTGTTTTAGGTTTGTTCATTCCTTCTGAAATGTGGATAACAGAGCAGCCTGTAGCATAGGGTTGCTGTGAGAATTACAGAAAAGGGTCCATCTGAGATGCTTTACACATCTCCTGCCTTACTTGGTTGTATTGGGCCTGCATGGTTCCCGCCCTAAGTCACCACTGGCTGGGGGAAGCACCATGTGCTCCTTTCTGCAGGAGTTCCTGGCCCATCACTCTGCAACATGCACCCCACTCCCCACCCACCCCTCTGCCAACAGCCCCTGCTGGGGCCCACTCTCCCTGCTCCCCATGCTGTGCTCCTGGCTGGTGTCCTTGACTGCACCCTGCAGGTGGCTTGTGTCTCCGGGACCCACGCAGCTGTGCTATGTTAAAGATGCTCCTGCCTGCATGCCTTGCCTGTGCAGTGGATATATTTTCATAATTCTCTCATTACAAGCATTTGCATGCTGCTGACAGCCCCAACAAGTCAGGAGGGCTGAGGAGACTCCGATCTGATCATCCACAGCTCATCTGGAGACTTGGCCAGGGGCTGAAGACACCCTTGATTCCAGGAGACAGGTTGTCTAGGGCTCTAGCTTGGTGGTGAGTTTAGCCGCTGCTTGTCACCGCAGTGGCTCAGTGGCTGGGAGACCAAGAGGCCACAGGTGGTCTTCCCCACTGCCGTGCGCGCTGAGCTTGGGTGAGGAATGGGCTCGGGCTCTGACAGCGGGAAGAACTCAGCATAATTTTTACTTCCATGATTTCCTTTAGTATTTGTAGAAATTTTAGTCTGTTCTGGTTCTGCTGAAGCACAGAGAAGGTGAGGGATTAGTTTCCCTAGGAGGCTGTCACTGGGGATTTTGTCCTGATTCAGTACAGATTTCCACCATGGTTCTGGGGCCTTCAGAATAACGTGGCCCAGGGAGACTCTTGGGTCATGAAGCGGGCGACCTCCCTGGCTCAGGGATGTGCAGATCTCGTCTGGACGTGAGAGGAGACTTAGCTTTGCATGGCTGATCTTTCCCATAATCCTGAAAGGTGGAGCAGCTCTTCCACAGAATGCAGAGTGAGGGAGGGAGGAAGAAATTCGCATAGGTACAGAAGAATCAGTACCCATACCACTGTGTTTGAGGCTTTATGAATTCTCAGAACATCAGAGATGTTTCTACCTGAAACCCCATCAAGTGTTGCTTAGTGTCAGGTATGCATCGGGGAGAGGCCCTGCAGGTGGGGGAAGCTGCCCCCTGCAGCACTATGGGGCTGGACCCACCAGGCAGGGGGAGCACCCACCGCACACCCAGGCAATGCTGCCCCTCCCTGCGCCACGTAAGATGAGTAGCGCTACATGGGTATTTGTGCATCTAGAGAGGGAAGTGCAGTTAAAATATTGGGCCCTAGGGACTTTTCTGTTCCACTAAATCTCATGGGATCACCGTCATCCATGCCATCTGCTGGTAACCAAAGCAACCTCACGCTGAGCGTGGCTGTCCCCAGCCACTCCCAAAGACAACTATTCATTGAATATCATTTTGGAAGAGTTCCCTTTCTCTTCTAGGTGGGTAATAAAGAATAGGATGGGGCCAGTGAGATAGCTCAGCGGACTAAGCGCCTGCTTTGGCAAGTGCAGGCAGGGATCAGAGTTTGATCCCAGTCCCGCGTGCAGCTCCCCGCCCACCCGGGGGCGTGCTGAGCCGGCAACCAAGGCCAGGCGATGGCCCTCACCTGTCATCCCAGCGCTGTAGGGGCTGAAAACAGGAGGGTCACTACCAGTCTGAGCTGTGTAGTGATACCCTGTACCAAATACATTAAAGAAAACATAGGAGGGAGCTCCGTGATATTTTAACACAGCTGTACAGGTTGTGCAGCTTCACCCTGGATTCTGGGAAGCTTAAACAGCTTATTTTTTCCTTTACACAGTCATAAATAATAAGAGAACATTTACATCAAATACTGGGGTGGTGCTCAATGACAGGGAGCACCAGTTTACCAAGCATGTGAGACTCTGGGTTTGAGCCCTACACCCCTTTGAAATACTCTTTCCAACTCTTCAAGAGTAGTACGTTAAAAGTGGCAGTCAATGACACATCAGTGAAAACAATATACAGGTTTCAGCAAACCACCAAAAGGTGTACTTTGAAAGAGAAAAATCGTGTTGTATATTAAAAATAGGACTATTAGGATTGGGACCATGGAAACAAGAGGTGAAAGGGAGAAAAGTCTTTAAAAGCCTCTCACTTTGCTCATTTTCTGTGCATTGCTGTTCCCCAAATCTTTTTTTTTTTTTCTCTCTCTTGGAACCAGGGATTGAACTCAGGCCCTTGTGCTTGCCAGTGAAGCGCTCACTCCACTGAGCCATCTCCCTGGCCCCTCCCCAAATCTTTTTTTAAAAAATTGTTTATTTATTTATTTGGTACAGGGTCTCACTAAGCAGCTCAGACTCGCAGTGATCCTTCTGTTTGTCATCCCTCCTGCGCTGGGATGACAGGCGTGCACCACCACGCCGAGACTCGGGCTGGGATCGAACCCAGGTCCTTGTGCTTGCCGGGCGGGCTATTAGACCCGTTCCCCAAATCTCACTCTGCATGTCCTGGGCTGGCTTGTGTGTTTCCAGGGCTGCCCCAGCTGAGCACCGTGAGCTGGTGGCTTCAACAGGAGAAATTAATTTCCTTCTGATTCTGGGGGCTGGAAGAATGAGCTCAGGGTGAGGCCCTGAGGATAGGGCTTGAGGGCAGCCCAGGAAACAGAGACCTAGGGAGCCCTTTTCTCAAAATAAAAAAATAAAGAAGGGCTAGGGTGTAGCTAAGGAGCTGGGCTAAAAACCCCCAAAAGAACAAAGAAACTTTTTGTTTCTTTTTGTTTTTTTTTAAACCAAGGTTTGCGATCAGGAACTCACAAATGCCGGGCAGCGCGTTACCCCGAGGCCGTCTCCAGCCCGTAGGGAAGCAGCTGTTCTTAAACTGCCTCCGCTCTTTCTTCCTCCTGCCCTGTCCCTAGCCCCCAGCCGCATCTGCCTGGTCACTTGGGGACGCGCACTTGACCACCGGCGCATCCCAGCGCGGCCCACAGCGCACAGCCCCGCTCCGCGTGCAGCTTCGGGTCGGGGCGCCTGCTCCAGGCTGGGGCTCGGGCCGCGCTCTGGGGGGCCCTGCCGGGTGCCCGAGCCAGCCACTTCGGGGCTACTGCTCCGGAAAATCAATTCTCTTCGGTTTGACTTCTAGCAAAGAAGACTATCTTTGAACTGTGCGCCTTATCAGAGCAGAAAGCCAGCGGCCTTGCCTTCTGCAACCCGCTTTCGGCACGCTCCATGGAGCACAGCGCTCGCGCGAACCGGGGGCCGAGCGCCTGCTGGCGCGCTTCGGCTGCGCTGCCCCCTCGTGGACACTCAGCGCCACGCTCGGTTCTCCTCCTCCGCACGTTCGCCGGAAACGGTAATGCGTTTCAACAAACCCGTGGTCTTTCTTCAGTGGATTCCTAGTTCACTTCTTGGGTTTTTAAAAACCGCAACGCATGACCAAATTGCGTAACTGCACGATCCACTAGTTGTTCTCAGGAAAGTTTGGACTGACTGCCTTTTCCTCAAGGCGGGGAGACGGGAGACGCGCTAGGACAGCAGAGGAAATCCCAGCAGAGACTCCGGGCTGCGGCTGCGAACGAGGTATCTCAAGGGCCGAAAATACAATCACAGCACAGATTAAAACTAGGAGTATTTTTATTTTTTTTATTTTTTTAAAAATAATTTTCATTTATTTGAGAGAGAGAGAGAGAGAGAGAGAGAGAGAGAGAGAAAGAGAGAGGTGTGTGTGTGTGGCCAGCTCAGCCCACCAGGGGGCGGGGCTGGCTGGCATGTGGTGCTGGGGGATTGAACCGCGGTCCCTGATGCTTTGCTAAGCTTGTTCTAAGTAGGTGCTTTAGACCACTGAGCCATCTCTCCAGCCCTTATTTTTTATTTTTTAAAGCAAAACCAGGGAGATGGATTAAGTGGAGACGGGAAGGGAGGGCAGAGGAGATAAAAAGGATCAAGATCGCCGAGTAGGGGGGCACGTCACCTCCCCAGGACCGGGTGTGTGTCACGCATCATCATAAACATATAAATTAAAATTTAAAAGCTAAACCGCGGTAGGGACAGGACTTGATTCAGTGAGAGCTCCACGGGCCTTCTGGGGAGAAGGGAAGAGGTGGCCCCGAAAGGTCACTTCCTTGTGCTTTGCATGCTGGCTTCCTGCCTGTTCCACTGTCCCCAAATGGCTCCGCTTCCCGCCTCTCGGCCTGTCCCTGCTGTCTCACACTCACAGGGTGCCTCTGCGATGGGGTGCAGGACCTGGCCCCGGCTTGGGCCCCGGAGCAGTGCCCAACACGTCCAGGGATCCGAGCAGCAAAGGACTTTGTAGGTTCGCGCCACTGCTTGGAAGTCACTGCAAAGCGATGGCAGGACTCCCGGGCACAGAGAGCTCAGAAACGAGTCAGAAAGTAAAGAAAGTTCCCAGGGGAGGATTAAAGACAGGTTGTTAGGGGCTGGGGAGATGG